TGTTATTAGAACTATTACCTCAGAGATCTGTGGAGAGAAGGGAGGGAGGAAGCAGAAAATCTGTGGAAAATAGTGGGCATAGGACTGTACCTCAAGAGTCGGTGATATACTCTAGATTATCATGTAAAGGTAAACAATGGGATTTGTCCTGTTTTGTGATGAAAATGACTAGGAAAAATGCACCTGAAAAAGATAAATTATTGTTATGTAACTGTTACTTTGTCTAACCTTATTGAGATGTGTTCATATACAGTATACTGTTTTAAATATTTGTAAAGCTTTCTATTTTGTGGTTTTCTGTATTTATTTGTGAAAAGAAAAGAAAGTTCTTAAAAATCAAAAATCGTGGCCTGTAAGAGCGTTGTTTCCACATTTCCTGCACAAACCTCACAAATGTTACGGTATTATATTCACATTGGTCTAGTTAACAAAACAAAAGTGGAAAAGGAGAAGTTTTGGGCAATATCAAAACTTTTCCACAAACCTCAAATAAACTGAACACGCACCAACACAAGCAACCAAGCGACTCCAGTTTCTTCTTTCCAGTGGAAACAAAAACTTCTAAATGTTACATACTGTATATGATCAGTAATTGTTTCACATATAATGCCGTCTTGAAGGCATTAATGCAATTTATGTAAAAACAAACAGCGTGGTTTTCAAATAGCAGAACATCAATGTATTTATACTACATACTTACAGGATTGTTTTTAAAAGAATATGACCAAAAATGAAAACACCACATGACTGCTACAGCAGAACTGGTCAGCCCGATTTCCAGGGCTGGATCATTGCTCATATACTGTAAGACGCTGCCTTTTCGACGGTTCTGTGAACAGCGGTATGGATCCCTTTCCATTTTGAGTGCGCTTGATACGAAATATTCGAAAGGCATGTGCTTACCTCAGAGATTCTAAGATGATCACAAGGAAGTGTATTGCATGTCTAATGGTCTAACAAAAACTTAAGAGTTGCTTAAGATGTTGCTTAAGAGTTGTTAAACCGGTTTTTATTTTTCGGCACAGCCAGCTGGCCCTAACCACACAGACACCAGCTAGCCTGCTAGAGTGCCACAATTCACACTCAACCATATTGCTGTTTGATCTTTGGTCTGAGCTTTAATAGAGAGCTTATCTCTATTAATATAACTATTGAGTGGTATTAAATGCAAGTTTTTTGTATAAACGACGCTTTTCTAAAATGTATTTAAAAAATAAAAATGATTGCAATTTAATCTTTCCATGTTTGATCCCATGTGGAAGTACTATATGTTCTATATAGTACTATACATATACTATAGTAATATAGTTATACTGTTATTAATTTATTTGGATACGCGAATCCATATTATATTCCCTATTGATCCAATTCTAAAAGTATGTTTTAGTTTAATCCGATAACGAGCGTATTTGCAGAAAAGGTTAAAATGATCAATTTTCACAAAGTATAGAACTGTACAGCAATATGGTCAGAAGGAGCACTGGTGTGTATTTTTTCTTTAAACTACCAAGACCAGCAATATACAGTTTACATAATATGTTTATGTTCCTAAATTAATATCGTTTATGACCTTCAGATGCGTTATGCTCCTCTTCTTTTTATGCACAGCTACTAAAATTTCCCTTTAGTTGTAAAAATCCATATAAATATTCAATACTGAGTGGATTAAAACGTGCACAGTAAAGAGATTAAATGAATAAATCTTTCCACTACCGACCAATGCACCACGAGTGCCCCTGCCGGTCATTTTGGCCAGCCAATCACGTACCGCGGTACAGTGTGGTGGCTCGTGAGTAGTAACATGCGGTATGGGTTTGTACTGTGCACTTTGAATGGCTGCATCTGTAGGGCAAAGAGTGCAGCCTAAGTATTGGTAACTGTTCATTTATCAACAAACTGTACAGCAAAAATGTTCAGGTATTTCCTTCTGCTTCCCTTACTACCATGTACAGTAAATATATCTTTATCATTTTAAAAAAAACAAGGAGAAGCACTAATAACTGCTTAGAAAATAATAATTAAGATCCTAAGATGTAAGTAGTAGCAATATTGATGCTAATATTTTAGTGCTCTCCATTGATTGTATTAAAATTGAAGTTTAAAGGTAATAATTTAAAGTAGCAAAGCTCACTTTGTCTCCTGCTGTTTTTACAGATGTACACAGTGATTCACTGACCTCATCAGAGCCTCAGGTGAAGAAGCCTGGAGACTCTGTGAAACTGTCCTGCACACTCTCTTGATTCACCATGATCAATTCAATTCAATTCAATTTATTTTTATATAGTGCCTTTCACAACAAGGTTGCCCCAAGGCGCTTAACAATGCAAGTGACCAAACATGTTGTGAATACAGAACAGAAAAGACCAGAAGACAAACGAGGATCAGAAACGATATGCACTGGATTTGCCAGGCTCCAGGGAAAGGGCTGGAGTGGATGGCTGTAATCTGGTATGGTAGAGACACAGTTTATACTGATTCACTTAAAAGACACCTCCAGCACTGTACTGTATTTTGAGCTGAACAACCTGAGCACTGAAAGACTGGCCTCTGATGTTAGAACTTTGACAGCTAGGAACAAATGTGAACTTGAGTCACTTTTTTACTGTTTTAGGATTTTATATGTAAAATTTACCTTGTGTGTCAAGATAAATGCTTGTACCTTTAATTGTTTTTGTTGCAAACCTTAAGAAAAATGCACTATGGTTTACTACATACATGTACCACATACACACTTTGGTTCACTACACAGTACACAAGTACCACATGTAGGACCTGTGTCAATTACTACTGTTTTCAAAGTTTTTTATACAAAATATAATAGTATTTTGATGTCTCACATTTCTTGTGAGTCTTGTTAGGCCCTTTTTTCAGTAAAACACAACTCAAAAAATCAAACTGGAGATTTTTTTGTTGCAATAAAGAAAGGAGGACAGAGGAAGTTAACAGGTTAACTTCGTCTCTCACTCACTTTCCTAAGGCCAGCAACAGGCTGAAAAAAAGTTTCATAAACAAACATGCATTTATGATTAGCCAGTAGAGGTTTCTTACCATATAAGGTGTAAGCAAGGTCAGAACAGCTAGTGATTAGGTGACTCTTGGGCAATCAACCAAGATCCTAGTCAGATAAGAACCTTGTTCTCTTTCCTGTTACTAAACACCTTTAGGATACATGAGTTACAACTCCTCTCAAGATACCTTGAATAAACCTCAGCCAACTGGGAGTGTACAAAACAGTAAAACAGTTATTGAGG